CCGGGTGCAAATGCATGCTGAGCTGCATGCGATGCTTTTCAATGCACACACCTAATCCCGCCCCAAACTGTACCCCTCACCGTGACATCACTAACTGCTCCATTGATCCATTGAGTGTATTGTGTCTGAGACTGCATGTCTAAGAATGTCTTGGCTTGCATATGCGAGTTTGCAGTCAGATACTATTGCAACATAATGAAATAAAATTCTCAGTAACTTTTGGTTCAGACAGACTTTAACTGCAGTCAAATTTGTTCACACTTTGTTTAAAAAGCATTGTTAAAGTATGCGCAATAAACATTCTATACAAACTTACTGGCCACTTTATTAGGTACACTTAAAGTATACCAAGATAGACCCCTTTTGCCTTCAGAACTGCCTTAATCCTTTGTGGCATTAATTCAAGAAGGTACTGGCAATATTCCTCAGAGATTTTGGTCCATATTGACATGATAGCATCATGCAGTTGCTGCTGATTTGTCGTCTGCATATACATGATGCGAATCTTCTGTTTCACCACATCCCAAAGGTGCTCTATTCGATTGAGATCTGGTGACTGTGGAGGTCATTTGAGTACAGTGAACTTATTGTCATGTCCAAGAAACCAGTCTGAGATGATTCACATTTCATGGCATAGTGCGTTATCCAGCTGGAAGTAGCCATTAGAAGATGGGTTCATTTTGGTCATAAAGGGATGAACATGGTCAGCAACAATACTCTGGTATGCTGTTGCACTGACACAATGCTCAATTGGTTCTAATAGGCCCAAAGTGTGCCAAGAAAATATCCCCCACACCATTACACCACCAGCAGCAGCCTGAACCGTTGATTCAAGGGAGAATGGATCCTGAAATAGTCAGACCAGCCTGTCTGGCACCAACAACCCTTAAGTCCCCTTTCTTTCCTATTCTGATGCTTGGTTTGACCTGCAGCAGATCGTTTTAACCATCTACATGCCTAAATGCATCGAATTGCTGCCATGGGATTGGCTGATTAGAAACTTGTCTTAAAGAGCAGTTGGACAGGAATACCTAATAAAGTGGCCGGTGAGTGTAGGTTTAAATGTGTGAATAAAATTTGGATGTACTACTTTGGCCATATTGTCAATGACATGTGACCTAAGACAATCACAGATCCTCTCCTTTATTTATATGCCTATTCCCCTACATTTGTATGCCTAACCCAAAACCAATTAGCATTTAGCTCAAACCATAGTCGGAAAGATTTTTTTTTCTAAAACAAGTTTTTTTGATTAAGTGCATGAAACAAGGTTGAAATAACAATAAGAAAACTGTAAAAGATAAAGCACAAAGAAGTATCCAAAAAGTCTAGTTGTAGTGAAACAGATTTAGTCAATCAATCAAAATAAAAGCAAGAACATATGGATAAACTGGAGCCGTTGAACTGGAGTCGCCAGCACACAGTCACTCAGTACAAAGACAACAGCTGTGCACTCCACTGTTGCTGATATTCCACTGGCAGGTGAACTCACTGACTTAAAACAATGAGCTTGCCGTCAAACCTCACAATATACAAAAAATAAAAATAAAAAAACGAATGTATACTACAGCTTTCCAGATGTGTGGAGTACAGTATCCTGCTTGAAAGAAAGAGAAAACGATCAAAGCAGTTTTTCAGCTTTTGCCCTAAAACCTTCATCCATGAAGCAGCTGTCTCCTGTTCACAGTCTTGTTAAAGAACAATGCAATGCTGCCAGTGCACTGGAAAACAAAGTCAAGGCTGAACGATTACTGTCTGACGTAGTGTTTATTTTGTAATCGAGTTCCAGGAAATCCTTGGCTATAGTAATATCTGGCCTGTTCTCTGTGTACAGTATTTCAAGTTTATATCTAAACCTGAACCTGAGTTCTGCCCCTGGCTGTGCCTGTTTAAAAGCAGAGTTATATAGAGAGCTTGTTTTTTCAGTTCTCTATTAAAAAGGCTATAATTTTTTCTGTCTATATTTATAAAACACGCACACACATGTATTAGTGGCACTGGTATATAGTGTGTGTGTGTGTTTGTGTGTGTGTGTATATTCATTCATTCATTCATTCATTTATTCATTTTCTTGTCGGCTTAGTCCCTTTATTAATCCAGGGTCGCCACAGCGGAATGAACGCAGCGGATGCCCTTCCAGCCGCAACCCATCTCTGGGAAACATCCACACTCACATTCACACACACACTCATACACTACGGACAATTTAGCCAACCCAATTCACCTGTACCGCATGTCTTTGGACGATGGGCGAAACCAGAGCACCCGGAGGAAACCCACTCGAAGGCAGGGAGAACATGCAAACTTCTCACAGAAACGCCAACTGAGCCGAGGATCGAACCAGCGACCTAGCAACCTATATATATATATATATACTCATGCATATATTGCACATACAGACATTTATAGACTATAAATAATAAATACTTCAATTTCTTGTTATACTTTTAGCAGTTTTTTTGTTATTAAATAAAGTTACTGGCCACTTTATTAGGTCCACCTTACTTGTGGGTTGGACCCCGTTTTGCCTTCAGAACTGCCTTAATCCTTCATGGCATAGATTCAACAAGGTACTGAAAATATTCCTCAGAGATTTTTGTCCATATTGACATGAGAGCATCGCGCAGTGGCTGCAGATTTCTATTTGAGTACAGTGAATTCATTGTTGTGTTCAAGAAACCAGTCTGAGATGATTTGCGCTCAATGACATATGAGAATTATCCTGCTGGAAGTAGCCATCAGAAGATGGGTAAACTGTGGTCATACAGGGACGAACATGGTCAGCAACAACACTCAGGTAGGTTGTGGCATTGACACAATGCTCAATTGGTAAACAAATTGTTCCAAAGTGTGCCAAGAAAATATCCCCACCACATTACACCACCACCACCACCACCAGCCTAAACCTTTGATACAAGGTAGGATGGATCCATGCTTTCATGCTGTTGATGCCAAATCCTGACCCTACCATCCAAATGTCGCAGCAGAAATCGAGACTCATCAGACCAGGCAATGTTTTTCCAATCTTCTATTGTTTAATTTTGGTGATACTGTGTGAATTGTAACCTCAGTTTCCTCTTCTTAGGTGACAGGAGTGACACCCTGTGTGGTCTTCTGCTGCTGTAGCCCATCTGCCTCAAGGTTGGACGTGTTGTGTGTTTAGAGATGCACTTCTGCGTACTTCGGTTGTAACGAGTATTTATTTGAATTATTTGCCTTTCTATTATAGGCATGCTTAACGAGCAGTTGGACAGGTGTACCTAATAAAGTGGCCGGTGACCGTATGTGCTGCTTGCTTTTCTTTCAGTAACAATGTAAACACGGAAGTATATGTAAATGACAGCAGAGAGGCATTTGCACAGGCTGTACAGTATAGACTGTCAATATAGGCTTTTATAGACACCAGAAAATCGGGGAAGGTCTACTTTTTTAAGTGATAAAAAACCATAATAAAAAAGTAAGAAGAAAGATTTGGAAGGGATTGATATTAATAATCCTTTAAGTGTAAAAATTGATATCTAGACATAGCTGAATACAGTAATATCAGTTTTGGAAAACACATTGAGCTTTAAACACCACTGATTTCTTATTTGTGTTGTTCTTTATTTATTGTTTAAGCATCATGATGGCGCAGTGGGTAGAATGATTGCCTCACAACAAGAAGTTTGCTGGTTCGAGTCCTGGCTGGGTCAGCTGGCCTTTCTGTTTGGAGTTTGCTAATGATTGACAGACAACATCTTATGAGCATGTTGACCTGAGAAAAAGTAATACGGTATTACATTCTAAAGTTAATAAAGATTTGAAAATTGGGGGGGGGGAGGAGTTTAGCATTTGCTTATTCCCCCAACATTTGTGTAATTTATATAATTATGTATTAGCCAGCTCTATTAATTATTAATGTATTTATTTGTAGATTTTTATATTTATTTATTTGTGTATTTTATTTATGCAAGGATTTATGGACTTATTTACTAATTTATTTATTTGCGTATTTATTTATTTATTTATTTATTTATTTATTGTGTTTGCAGGTTTCTATGGCGGACAGAACCTCCAAAAAAGATAAATAAATACACAAATATATAAATAAATGAATAAATAAATCCATAAATCCCTGCATAAATAAAATAATAAACAAATAAATGTATATAAAAATCCACAAATTCCTGCATAAATAAATAAATAAGTAATAAATACTGCAGGCAGGTAAATAATAAAATAAAAACACAAATATTGGTGGAAAAAGAAATTGCTAAATTGAAGGTTTATTTTCCCCCTTTATAAATGTTTAATTATTCATTCTTAGCATGTTGACATGTTTGAAAGGAAGGAAAAATAAACTTTCAGTTTACCATTTTATTTTCCCCCCAACATTCGTGCAATTTTATATACATTTATTTATTTATTTGCATATATTTATTTATTAACTGTTTTATTTATGCACAAATGTATGGATTTATTTACTCATTTATTAATATATTTGTGTATTTATTTATTTATTGTTTTTATGTATTGTTTTTTTCCTCGATAAGGAAGCACACAAATAAGATATATCAAAATAATTAGCAATTTGGGAATTTGTAGGATATATATTATGAAAAAACTTAAAATGTATCTCCCTTATTTGTTGGATTACATATCTACTGACTACATTTCATACTAGATTTGGAGCTACAGGCAAAAAATGGATTACTTTGCATTTTGATTAAAATGCTAATCAACTGCACAGGGAAAATGTATAATAATTAAAGTTTGAATTAAAAATAACAACTTAACCTGGCCAGCCCTTACATTCCCATAAGGATTTTTTAATGTCGCCGTTATGATCGTGACACCACAATGAATAATTCCAGTCCATAACCAATTAAGTTTGAACAAGACATCACGCTCGTGGACTCTGAATCCGGAAGCCACGCCCACCGCGAACTTGTGCAACGCCGGCTCAAAGCGATTGGCCAAGGCGCGCTGTCAATCATGGATCCCTGCCATTCCTTCCGTTCCGCCAACGAGACTTTACACAGATGTGTTTCAGGCGTGATCGGTTCAGTTGAGGCTGCTGGGACCCCGTTCGCGCAGTGGGATCAACTTCTTTCATAGGATCTACCGCGTCCTACTCGGACACCTCGACTTCAATGTAACAGGTACCCAACGCGGCGCAGCGCAAGGTGATCGGGGAGTTACTTTGTTGCCAAAATCTGACACATTTAGACGGGCTTTTAAACGCAGAAGAAAATGCCTGTAGCTTCTCTTCTGCCTTTCACGGCCACTCCGAATAGGAAGTCCGCCAGCCCGACCTCCTTCAGGCTCACGGAGAAATTCATCTTGCTTTTAGTGTTCAGCGCCTTCATCACGTTGTGTTTCGGAGCTATCTTCTTCTTACCGGATTCCTCTAAGCTGCTCAGCGGAGTTTTCTTCCGCTCGTCCTCGGTGGAGGCAGAGACGCGCGCAGGTACGGTCAGTGACACGAGCACCGGGACGGGCAAAGATGAGAAGATCTTGGCCAAGATCAGAAAAGACCACGAAAAAGCGCTGCTCGAAGCCAAGGACACCTTACAGAAGCGGCCGGACGAGATCAAGGAGGACATCAACAACGATAAGATTAAATTTGAGCAAAACCGACCGGTGAAAGATGACAGTTTGCCGTTCGTACCGTACGTGCGACCGCCTGGAGCAACAGGGCACGAGCCCGCAGATCCTGACATTAAAGCTAAAAGAGCCAAGATTAAAGAGGTATTGTGTGTTTTAGTACTCTATACCTATGCTTCTTTACAAAAACTCTTGTAGGATTTCATGTCAAATGTTGTAGTGTAAATAAACAACTTTCTCACTGTAGCGTGTTATTAGTCCTGGTGGCAGGAGACCGAAGGAAATTATTGCCAGTCAGTTTCAGGAAGCAGTTCGCTAAACAATGAGTAATGAATGCATTGTGGTGTTGTGTAATGCTGTAGATAAGCAAACGTGGTGTTGTTGAACCTGTATGCTCTGACAGGTCGGTTGATGGACAAGTCCTGTCACTCACAGCTGAGCGCGCGCTCATTCATTTCTGTCGGTCATTCGCGGAGCTGGACATGGAAACTCGCCGACAGTGTTTCAGTCCGTGCTCCCCCCTTTTTCACTCTGTATTTCAGTTTGCATTTTACCTTGTCAATGTTTAGTCAACATGTTTACGTCAGTGTTTTTTCCCCTGTCAGTTTTCTGTTTCGGAAAGCATCGCCTGTCAGTTGCGGTTCAGACAGGCTTTCTGCTTTTGTCAGTGTTACTGACTCTATTTCTGTAGGGTTTGCAGTTCATAGTCGCTGTCCCCCCCCCCCCCCCCCCCCCCCCCCCGTTTTCCATTTAGTTGTGTTTTATGAACATTTTTTCATTCATTGTTAAATTTAACTACTAACAAACACATTAAAACAAACCAACAGGCAGTTTCCGTTTTAACAGCTCTAAAGAGAGAGACAGAAATAATAGTGAATTAGTAAGATATGAATAATATAGTAATAATAAATCAGTAAATTAATTTAAAACTAATAAATATATAGATAAATGAATGAATTTAAAATGAATAATGTCTATAATAAGTTAGTAAATTAATAAAAAGAAATAAATATTCACAAAAATATCTGTCAGTTTTAGCATTTAGTGCTCTGTCTGAATATCACATTGTATTGACTGTATTTAACATGCATACAATTTATGGACATTTTAAAAAGAAAAATAATAATTTTCACAAGCTCAGTCAGCATTTACTAATATTGTTTTGTGAGTATTTCAGGAAAAAGTGAAATATGAAAAAGTAGCATTTGTTTTGCACTTTTGTGTGTGTGTGTGTGTGTGTGTGTGTGTGTGTGTGTGTGTGTGCGCGCATTGCCTCTATTTCAGTCTGTATTTCCTAGTTTTTAAATATTTCTGACAGCATTTTAACCAGTACTTTAATTTTTTTCCGGCAATATTTGTAGTGAAAGTATTGCTTTCTATATTTCAGCACTACCTGTTTTCAGGGTTTCAAGCATACATACATAACTTAAATGGAATAACCGCTCTTCCTTTTTCACTTATAGTAGTGTAGTTGGTATTTTCCATGTTTTTTTTCTTTTCTTTTTTGGTCAGTCAGTATAGTTTTAGTCAACAACAAATGCTGTTGTTGTGTTTGTTTGCCTTTTTTACATTGCCAGGACATTTTTTGTTTACATATAAACTGTGTAAATTATATAGTGATGGTGCATGAGGCATCATCATATTACTGAAATGTTGTCATTTCAGACAGTAGTAAGCCACATTCTTTATATTGTTGAGCTTAAGAAGGCTCCTTCTGTTACAAGGGCACAGTTGCTTTATTAATATATATTGCTTGACTAATAATATCCAATGTAAAGACATTCTAATGGCCCATTTTGTCCCCCTGCACCATGCATTATTATACTGTTAAACATGTATTTGGATTTGTGTTGCCCTTTTTTATGTCTTCATCTCATTTTTCACTATATTTGCAAACGTTTCTACCTTTGGAAATACATTATAATATGCACAAATATAATAAGTTGACTGATTTTGCAAAAATGGTGTTGGTTTTAAAACTATAGATGGATATTCCTTCATCTGAAGTTGAGATTAGCTCAAAATATTGGTTAAAATGACTTAATATGTACTGTAAGCTCGTAAAGAATGCTAAGCAAGGCTGTCATTATTTGTTTCTGTCAGGATGGATGCTTTTAGAGTGTCAATCTAGTCTATTAATCCCTCAGTATGAGTTAAATGACATGTAGACTTTGCATTGGCTTGATTAAATTAAATTTGCTATTGATTGACTCTGTTGCTCACTTTGAAACAGGCTAGAGTAAAGATGCAGATGGAAACTGACAGCATAGTAAGGCTATAAATTAAAATCACCTTTCACTTGTATTGGCCTTATGTCTATCCTTTTTTAAGAGGTTACATGGAATTCCTCCTAGTTTGTTACATGATGCGTGTCTGTTTCAGTTATTTGCATAAGAAAATGGTGTCTGTGCATGTCGTGTCCTTCGAATTTGCATTGTGTCACTTTGGAATATCACCCTATTTTTTTGGGGTTTTTATTTTTCTCCCTTGCATGCTAGTGAGCACATATTTGCATGTATTAAAATGAATTATTTGGTTATTAAATTAAAAATTAGTCATTAAAATGAATTTTGCGACTTTCACAAGTCTTTCACAGTTATTTATGGTCGGTGTTGCGTAATTACTGAAAAAAGCAGTAATAGGTTACAACTGACTAATTACTACTTGAAAATTGTAATCTGATTACATTAGTAATTACTTCTTGTAAAAAGTAATCAAATACTAATTACTTTACTTTCAAGTTACTTTGAAACCCTATAAAACCTTAAAAAAAGATGATTTCATGTTAACCCGGTATTGTGTTTACTGCTCTAAAATAAGTCTTTTTTTTCAAATGTCTAAAGACATCTTTGGATATCCTTTTTTTCTTTGTATATAAATGAAGCCACTGCACTGTTTAGGTCTATAGAATGCTGGATGATGCTGTACAAGCGATTTGTTTTTTCAGAAATTTGCTGAATCGTGGGCTGACCAGTAGGTCTTCGCTTTGGAGAGTCCTTTTGCTTTAGATACTGTTGCCCTAAAAAAAAAAATTAAATAGTCGTAAAAATACCAGAAAATTTGTGCGGTTTTAAAACCTTGACTTTTCTAAACCGTGGTAAACCTTGAAACCAGTTGACGTCCCATGTCTAATACACTGTAAAACCCAACAGTCAACTTCAAATAAAATGAGTGTAGGTAACTCAAAATTGACTGAAAGTTAATTCTACTAAAAGAGTTTTTAACCCGGTGTTGAAGGTAATGAGTTAATTAAATACCTCATTACTTCAGCTTAAATGGAGCAAGTTCACAGTGTTCATATAGATTAGTTGTTTAACTCAAATGGTTTGAGTTTCTTAAGCTTCTTAGGTTTTAGAGTACTCAATTGGTTTAAGTTATCTTCATTTATCAGGTTTTACTGTCCTCAAATTGCTTCACTCAAATGAATTAAGTTCACAGTACTCATTTGAATTTGTTTTTGTGCTTAAGTTTGTTGCAATCGGTTTCCTCAAACGGTTTGAGTTACCTTAACTTTTTGGGTTTTACAGTGTAAGTAACAATTACATTGACTTTAGTAACGGTAATTGGTTTATAATCATTTAAAATGTAATGTTACATCGGTATTCCCTGGAAATGTAATTGTAATACAGGAACATGTTACTTTATAATGTCGTTAGGCCTAACATGATAAAGCATTTTCATTGTGCGAGATATTATCACAGAAATTGTTGCAATAACTAATATCATTGTCATTTTGAGATCATTTTATGCCACTGATTATAGAATTATTATACAACAGCCTTAACAACATACTTTACATGCCAATTAGCACAACATCTGCACATTAAATTTTATAATATAGTTATATACCTGTACATACCCTTGTCAATTTGCATATTTGCATTCACTACTTGCTTGTCTTTTAAAAAATATATTAAAGTTGTAATATAGGAATGTATACCTACCTGTACATGCACTTGTCAATTTGTATATTTGCATTTACTGCCTACTTCTCTTTTTAAAATCTTTTTATTATGTTTTTTTTTTGTCCTGTCTCTGTAATTTTATTGCACTGTAGAAGCTCTGGCACGAAAACAAATTCCTTGTATGTGTGAACATACCTGGCAATAAAGCTCTTTCTGATTCTGATAATATCGCCTACTATAAACGGTTTCAAAAGACTAATGTCTTTCCTTCTTAATGTTATTTAGATTCTGTAATTTAGTTTCAGAAATCATGTAAATGTCCTATTATATATCCTATTAAATTTCCTATACATTAAATGTCTAATTGTTAACTTTGACATCGGTAAACTGTAAATGTCCTTATAAAATGGCTTTAATGTTATTTGTGAATTTTTAAATCTATATCGGAACTCCAAAAATTGAGGGCATATACAAATATTGCATGACAAGTCGATATATTGATTATTGTGACAGGCCTAAATGTGTTATACCCACTTTGTTTATGGCTATCAGTGGAATGATGACATGTTTACTTCTCAGAGTTGAATGAGTTGGATAAGTTTTAATGCCAAGATTAAACTGTTAAAGAGTTAAGCACATTAGTGCATCCGGAAGCCTCAATGTTCCTCTACAAGTGCACTGGTGTTCCTGTGGATCAGACAAGCCCCTCATCTCTCTTGCTTAATGCAGAGGCTCAGCATGAGAACGGTGATAATTCACCCCTGAATAGCGGGATTTCATCCATTGATCGCTGACATGAGGGAAACAAACAGTCACAGCTGGACCCTTTGGGGTCTCACTTGTCAGACACGACTGTGGGCACTCTGTCTCGCCCCGCCAGACACCCTGACCTTTTAGGAGCAGAATTGCCTTTAGAAAATAAATTGATCTCAAGGTTATGATGCAAAAAATGGTTCTGTGAGATTTTATTTTTTGTTACTTTTATAACCCAAAGCTGGAAACGGAAACATCTAACATGGATAGGCTACAGTGACATTTACAGGGCTGTTCTGTTTTTTTACTCTCTGCATGGGTTTTTGCTTTTTTTATTGTTTTGTAAAAGGAATAAAATTTGCCTGATCACCAGTCCATAAACTTTTGAATAAAATAAATGTGCTTTCATAAATATGTGTTCTTCAAGATCAGATTATTTCTTTACTTTGGGAAAAATGTATGTACACCAAATATAATAGGATGCTG